GCCAGCAACGCCAAATTGTTGTAGAATTACATACCCCAAAGCAAGGAGAAAGCTCAAAAGTCTTTGTCTTAATCAGAAGCGTAAGTTTATTGTACACACGTGCGGAGAGCTAGCATATACAAAAGGCAGCATACCCAGCTCTGGCCCGCAGAGCTCAGGCTTCCTGTTTACATAGAAAGACAGTCACGCCCACAACAGATGGGAGGGGGCCACCGGTGAAGGAGGCGCATAGGGAGCGCAGGCGCCATGTCCTGTGGTGAGGCAATCAGACACAGGGCATGGAGGTGCGAACAGACAGACAATGGTAGAAATGCAGACATACAGATGCAAGATACGAAAGACACAAGGGTGTGACAGACAGCAGGGACCTTCACAAAGCTCAGCATGGCGTCAGAAGGTCGTCTCTGCATTGATAAAAGGCCTTTGACGTCCGTGTATTTGCTGCGGCTGGTTTTAATGTAATTACTCTAAAAACTGTCATTACACGTCCAACAATGTTTTTCAGTGTTTGTTGGCTGAATACCCGTCCTTGTCCACGCCTTCTTTTTCCGCTACGGTAGCCAAACACGGAGTGGAGCATTTCATTCCCACGAGCGGTCCGCCTGTATTCGCACGCGCGCGGCGCCTCGACACAGTAAAGTTATCCATTGCTAAGGAGGAGTTTGCGACCATGGAGCGTTTAGGTATAGTGAGGCGCTCCAACAGCCCGTGGGCATCGCCCCTTCACATGGTACCTAAAGCGGATGGGTCGTGGCACCCATGTGGTGACTTTAAGCAATTAAATAATGTGACCACTCCTGACCGTTACCCTATTCCGCATATTCAGGATTTCTCTGCTCGGTTGTCTGGTGCCTTTCATGCAGCCAACTACTTGAAACGCCTAAAACGGACCAGAAACATCATGAATTACATTCTAGCTCTCAACAACTGTGTTTCTGTGCATTTGAACTGATTCTGTTGTAAAAGTGAATTTCATGCAGAAAACCACTTGAAACGTCTAAAACGGATCAGAAACATCATGAATCACATTCTAGCTCTCAACAACTGTTATTCTATGCATTTGAACTGATTCTGTTGTAAAAGTGAATTTCATGCAGCAAACCACTTGAAACGCCTAAAACGGACCAGAAACATCATGAATTATATTCTAGCTCTCAACAACGGTGATTCTATGCATTTGAACTGATTCTGTTGTAAAATTGAATTTCATGCAGTAAACCACTTGAAACGCACAAAACAGGCCAGAAACATCATGAATTACATTCTAGCTCTCAACAACTGTGATTCTATGCATTTGAACTGATTCTGTTGTAAAAGTGAATTTCACGCAGTAAACCACTTGAAACGCACAAAACAGGCCAGAAACATCATGAATTACATTCTGGCTCTCAACAACTGAGATTCCATGCATTTGAACTGATTCTGTTGTAAAAGTGAATTTCAAAAACGCTATTATTTTTGCTGCTGCTGCTCTGATTTAAAGGAGAACTACTGCGTTTAGGATTTAGGCTTTTCATAGTTGTTATTCCGTTAAATTTGCTAAATTTGCGATGGAACATTGTGCTATGACACAATTAAACGTTTTTAAACACCATTAGTGAATAAGTTTTGAATTATTATGTTTTTCTAAATCCAAAGATTAGTACAAAAAAAGCTTTGCTTTTCTTTTTAAATCTGCTGCTTTTTTTTTTTGGAGTCCATTATTGTATCTCTGACATATTTCATAGCTGTTTGTGAGAATTTTTTCATGTATTTTGATTTTAGTTACAAAAGCCGTTTTTTAAACATTTAAATTAGAATCTGTGTTAAAAGTGATTATTGATCATAGACTTTGTCTAAAAAGAAAGAGGGAATTAGGATTAGCTGTAAAAGTATTATGTTATTGAGTTCAACTCTACCCAATTCACCCAATTCACATTGCAAGCGGTGACTTTTTTGTTTTGACTATGCACCTGACCTTGCTCCTGCTGCTGATGCTGCTGCACAGAGAAAGGAGTAGGCAGCTCTAACACAATTGAGTTTTATTAAACCAAATCCAGTTTAGCTGGAGCTAAATCTTATAATCTTTTGTTTGATTTCAAGTTTTGTTTTAATGTTTTTAAAAATTAATTTTCATTTTTATAGAGATTTTTCATAATTTCATTTCATGGCGTCTTTCAAGAAACCCAAGGACGCATAGATAATTAAACACACAGTACAAAAGTACATAATACATATTTTAAAGTTTGAAGGTTTTTTGAGATTTGAGTCTTGTTTTTTGTTAAGAGAGAGTTTCTGGTCTTAAAAGTTTCACATTAGTAAAATAATAAGTAATCTTTATTTATATAGCGCATGTTGGAAAGCCAAGAGCGCTCCAAAAATGTTTAGACTTTAGACAGAAAAACAGTCTCACTCACATACTGATATCTGTTGTTTTGAATTTGACTATAAGGTTGTGTTCCAGGACCAAGGGCACACACTGTACAGGGTCACTGGACTGATTATGGAGTGGACACTGAGAGCTCAGACCACAGGAGCTCAGCAACGCCCACCCAGGCACAGGTCACAGATCAAAGAGCAAAGGAAAATGCCACCTCCTTGCCCCTCCCCACGCCACTCCAGAACTGAGTGGGTGTAAGTGACCGGGGTAGAGAGAGGTCTCTGGAGACGTGATGGGTGGAGCATCAGGGAGAGACCTGAATGCGAGTTGAGAGTGTGTCCAGTTGGTTTGCATCACCACAGTGTGACCTTTGAGACCTACAGGTGGTTCGAGGAGTCTGGAGACACAACCCCAAAATTCACACCCTACACACATCCACACACACACTCACACATTCATATTTACATATAGATACATGAAAAAGCAGAACATGAGGAAAAAGCATTTTAAAAGTTTACTCCAATGTAAACAAATATTTTTAATTGTCTATCACTTGAGTCTTTATTTGAATCAGTATTTTTTGAGACCAGAAATGTTCATTTGAATTCTATATTGTCATGGACTTAATTGGCCTGTCTTGACATTTTTTTGTTTTGATTTGTAGATTTTGTACTGTGTGATGTAATTACATTGATTCTGATAAAAACACAAATTAGAGAAGTAAACTGAATCATTGTGCTTGCTTTTGTCAGAGGGACATTAGCAACAGCATGAATAGAATTTGTCTTTAAAGTATAATCAAAATGACTTAACCAAAGAGAACTAACTATTGCATAACAAGCTGTGTTCAGGAACTGTGACACTGCACCACCATTGACCAGAAGTGCATCGCAAAGAGCAACCCAAATGACCTGATGTGCGATTCAAGTGACCGATGTGCATCTGGAGATCCGATGTGCATCTGGAGTGACCAAAAACCCTGGCTTGGACCCTACTGATGTCCGAGATGACATCTCTCGAAATATGACAAGATGGCGGCCCCGGGTGTGGCAGGTATAGCAGCAGCGCTCTTTGCTTATGCACTGCTCGCCAGAGGTGGGACAAAGTCATTGTTTAGCAAGTCACAAGTCAGTCTCAATTCATTGCCCTCAAGTCCCGAGTCAAGTCACGAGTCAAGACAGGCAAGTCCCGAGTCGAGTCCAAGTCAAAGGCCAACAAATCTCAAGTCAGTCCCAAGTCCTACGGTTTGACTTTCGAGTCCTCTCGAGTCTTTTTGACCGCGATTTGTTTCTTGTTGGTCTCAATAATGTTAGGAATCATTTTGCTGGTGCATTCTCGTTGGTCTCTGACCCATGGACTAACAGTTTGTTCCATGTCGTTGGCTGCTGGTAAATCAAAACTATCTATGTGATCTAATTGGATGTTGTGCCAGATGCAGGCTCAGTTACACATGCACAGACCACACATAAAATCAGAGCAGTCCGTGTCAACATACTTTTTATCTTTGGGGTTTTTAATGGGAAGTAGCAAGTGCAGCATATATGAATAGTATGCTTATATTATAATCAATTAATCTCAGTATTGGGCTAGGACCTGTATCTATATAATCAGTGTAATGTCCGTAGTGGTTATTGTTCCAAATGTCCTACTGTAGGATAGGGGTAGGGGTAGTATTAATTCAATCAGTCAAAGCACTGATTCTCATATCAATGCACCATAAACAATAGTGCAAATATTAATCTAGCTTAGTGCACATAATCAAAACAACTATCTAATGTATGCAAACTTTAGCAGGAGGAGCACAGCAAAAACATACTCATAATAATAGGTCTCGGCGCTCACACAGAAAAATATAAGAAAGAGCCAACAGAGCAGCGCAGGCTAGCGCTAGTTTGACTCACCAGTTCCTCTTTAAAACACGGCACACAGTGTGACAACTGCGTCGATTCAATTGTATGAGGCGCCTGTAGTGAAAGCATATCAATTACGGTTTGTAGAACAAAATATGACGTTAGGTCGCGATAAATACCTCGCTCATTTCCAGCTCCCCTACGACAACACACCCACCGGTGAATGCAGTGTGCTTGTTTAGGGAAGTGTTGCTGCGCGAACTGCCTGGAACTCACGTTCAAAGTCTCTCGCGAGCGCTACAACTACCGCGAGGCTTTGTTTCTTCAGAGACGGCATAGATAGAAAGAGAGATGCGGAGAAAGGTAAAAATGGCCCGGGTTACGCAAGTCTTTACAAGTCAATTGGCGCAAGTCCAAGTGAAAGTCAGAGTCATTGATGTTAAAGTCCAAGTCGAGTAGCAAGTCTTTTTATATTTGGTCAAGTCGAGTCTAAAGTCATCAAAATCATGACTCGAGTCTGACTCGAGTCCAAGTCACATGACTCGAGTCCACACCTCTGCTGCTCGCTAACACCTTTTTTTTACATAGACACAGGTCAAATTCTGGATGACTCATATAGTTACAACGGCATAATCAAACCTATATCAATGGACTTTGTGCCTATCAAATCCACCAAACATCTTGGACTTGGAAGACACGTCCTGGCTTCTATGCTCGTTCATCCATATCTGCATAGCAAAATCAGAAAGCCCTCCAAACCGGCATTAAAGCCGCAACAGAGCCTCGCACTAATGATCACCATCTACCTTCTGCTGTCCGGGGACATCCACCAATGCCCCGGTCCGACAAATGGTCTAACATCAGATAGCCACCATAGCATCAAATCAAACCACTGTAAGAGCATCCCAGGAAACTCACAGGTACGCACGTTTACTACAAGCTACATGTTTGAGCTAACCCTAACCCTAACCCTAACCCTACTCACAGGTACGCACGTTTACTACAAGCTACATGTTTGAGCTAAACACTCACCTCGATTCTCTCATCTCCCCGGCGAGCGCGGCGGAGCCAGTGATCGGCGCGGACGTGGTCACCGGTTGGATGGATCCATCAGGGACTAGCGGCGAGTTTACCGGCTGCGCCGCTCTGCCCTCTCCGCCGCACGGGATGCCCCCGTCGGTCGGGTATTTGGACGAGGACGCCTTCCGGGTTGGCCGTGGGGCGCTGTTTCACCGGGGTTCATCGTGCGCATTGGACTGTGCCGTGAGGGCTTCGGCGCAGGGGAGTGTTGTCAACAGTCCACAAACAATTGATAGGAGGGGCAGCAGCGATAGTACAGCAGGGACGGCATGGTTGAAAGCTGGCACTTGCACGGATCATACCGGAACTGCCGGATTGCTAAACTCCAGGTGTCAGACCCTTTCTACTACGGCAAGTAAAATCCGAGCCCCATCTTCTCTTTTTTGTAAGTTTGAGCACTGTGCAACAGGTGACAGCACAGAAAATGTAAAGCTACTTGCAAATAACGTCAACAATAGAAACAGGAAACTGCCAAATCCCGCAATAATAAAACACCGGAAACTCCGGGTATTTCAGACAGTTAATAACTCTAAATTAATTTGGGACTCAAGATCCAAACCAAAAGGCCTTCTATGTGAACATTTAAATATACGAAGTATCAAGTCAAAAAATTATCAAGTCCGCCACCTACTTACTGACTCTAATATTGACTTTCTATGCCTTTCTGAGACATGGCTTCATGAAACCTCACCCTCTGCAATAACATCTATACCCGGTTATAAAATGTTTCGTAAAGACAGACAGGGTTCCAAGGGAGGGGGGGTCATGATTTATGCCAAGGACTCATTTAACTGTAATGAAATTCATGTTGCAAATGAGAATGATTTGGAAATTCTTGGTTTAAATGTAACTTTGTCACAGCAAATGTCCTTCGTTCTTGTTGTTATTTATAGACCTCCTTCTTCAAATGCAGATTTTTATGAAAACCTGGACATTTTATTAAAACAACTCAACCCTGCAACAGAACTTATAATATTGGGTGATCTAAATGTTAATTGGGAAGTCAAGCAAATCAGGAAAAAACTTGAAAAAGGTTATGGATAAAATGGATATGAATCAGGTGATTAAAGGCCCTACGAGAATTACAAACACTACGAGCACTCAAATTGACTTGACTCCAAGGCGTCTGGACAAGTTTTTTTCCCTACATTTTGGTGATATAAAAGTTAGAATGATCTTAGAGAGCATTATACTTTTGGAAAAATAGGGCTTAGGATATCAGTTGAATGCAGGATTCGGTTTTCAGAATCTAATGTTTAAAATGTTAATATTAATTATTTCATAGGTTTATTTTGATTTGTAATTAATCATTGGTTTTGTATGGTAATTAACACACTTGTTTGTGCTTCTTGTTTGTCTGTTTTTTCCTGAGAAAACTTCTGTCTGTTTCATTGGCCAAAATCGTCCGCGCCACAGGCCTCAACTGAGCGTCTACTAAAATGGACCATCAGCGTCTCCGCCGACCCACAGGGGGCACCAAAGACAGCAGCATCGGCTGCAGCAGCTCGAAGAAGACTTCTCCAGCCTCCAATTCTAACAGCATGGCAAAGAAAAGACCACAGACTTTTGCACAAAACTGAGGGAAGTTATGTGCGCAAAGAGGAACGGTGTAAACCGAGCGAAAGACACGACACATTTGTGTGCGTCAGATCTGAGAAAGAAAGTTATTGAAAGGAGAAGAAAAAGATTGAAAGAAGAAGAAAGTGATTGAAAAGAAGAAGAAAGACATTATGAGAAAAAGTTAGCGGAAGAAAAAGAAAGTGATTGATTGAAAGAAGAAGAAAAAAGACATTGAGACAAGGACATTGGACACTATGAGACAATTGAAAGACGCCATAAGAGGAGGACGTGGCTGGGCAAATGAAACAGACAGAAGGTAATATACAGACAGGCAACAAACGCACCAAGACATTAAGGACATTTAGGTCACATTTACACATTTAGGTCATACGTTCAAAACACTACATTTAACTGCATGAATGATTACAAGACAATCGTCAAAATTATTGGACTCTTACTCTAGAATGAGACACAAGAAGATTAGAACAGCAGTATATTTGTGCATGATTTAGATGAGTTTTATTATTAAAACTATTATTGTTATTTAAAGTCATAGACGCGGAGAAGTTTAGAATTATTGATTTTGACTGCATGATCTTGGTAATACGGATATTTAAAGCAGTGTTTTCAACCTCTGAACCGTGGCTCGTTTCTCATTTAAAACCATCACATGCACAGTTGAAACTGGTGCTGGAAAGAGAACTGCAGCCTTTAATTGACGTTGCATTTGGTAAAAAGTGGTTTGTTCAGACAAACAAAGTTTGAAAAATAATAATAGAGTATTTCTAAATCATGGTTAAAGGTGATATTGGACCATTTTTGATGGCACACTAACGCACCACGGTCCACTGGTTGAAAACACGGATGTAGAAACATTTTATGAAATCTTTTATGACATGTTTCTCTTCCAAATAGATAAATCAGAAACAATTAGGACAATTATGTCGTTGATACAACTGTTGGCAGTTTGTCTGAGACATGATTGGTGCAAGTACGTCAACACACGTACAATAATAGTCTTTTCTCCACATGAACGTGAAACAAAGGTGAAGTATTAAAGTTTGAAACTAATTTACATTTTTAATGAATCCGAACTGGCTTTACTAAAAAAAAAAAAGGGAAAAACATTTATAGCACGTGCACGAGTCTTAACCCTTTAGGCGCCAGAGTTTTTTCAAGAAAATATACAATTTTGATTTCAAGATTTCAAAAGGCTATAACTTTAAAATGGTTTGAGATAAAGGCATACTGTAAATTAGAAATATCTTCAGTTTGAACCAAACTTTGGGATGGAAGTTGATTCGTCATCTAATTTGCATATTGTGACGTCATCAAGGTGGCGGCCATTTTGGAAAATGTTAATTATTGTATAAAGACTTCAAAAAGCTGTAGCTTGGGAGTTATTTGAGATCAGGGAATACTATAAACAGTCAATGTGAAATATCTTTAGTATGAAATGAATTTGGGATAGAAATAAATTCCCTGATCCAGATTATAGATAATGTTTTAGCACTGGTTCGCAGCCATATGGAATTGTATTATTTTCAAAGACCTTCAGAGATCAAGACAGCACTCTTTATAGTTTACAGTCATGAAATCTTGAGATTGGTTTCAATATTTCCCTTTCAGAGAAGTAGTGGGCTTACTATTTTTCTCAGTGGAAATGAGGTTCCAGGATTTACCATTTAGAAACAGAGATGAAATGAATGGGCTCAGAACTTGTCAGATCGTCTCAACAACATACAACAGGCTCTTCAACACTTCTCTCTAGAACTGTCTTCATCCTCATCATTGCTGCTGGTAAAGGCAGTGAACGCAATTAGCGATGTGTTTTTTTCCCGCGGCTCTCCCGCGACTTCTCCCGCGACTTCTCCCGCGGCTCTCCCGTGTTCCCCGTGGATGTCTACCCCCACTACTTTCTCCCACATGCCCGGTGTTATGATCCCCCTGTCCCCTCGACCCCAGCCCCTGCTTGGCGTTCACAGAATGCTTCTACCGCGGCCACACGGAGGACAAGCAGCCGCTGTACAGGGGCTGATTGTGGACTATGGAGCGCGGTCTCCCCGTCACCAATAATGTTCGTGTTTGCTTCACTGGACACCTGCGTGTCTTCCTCCTCTGAATCTGAGTGAGCCAGTACCAGACCAAGTACTTCTCTGGTACTGAAGACCTCGTGAGTAAAATAAAAAACACTCTCTCCCTCTGCTCTGCTCTCGCTCCTCTCAGCTCTACCGCTGCTGCTTCGCCTCCGCGCTGCAGCGTCGCAGGTGTTTTACGAACTCAATTTACTCAAAAACTTTCAATATAACCACACCCACAAATGCTGCTCATATTACAGGCACACATGTCCACTAACCCCTGGTGAAAAGTATTAACAAGATTCTGCACCACATTTTTAGATACAGCCTGTTTAAGTGAGCAATGTTGCTTGTCGCAATATTGCGACTTTGGCGCTTAAAGGGTTAAAGTAACAAGAGCTCATTAAAAATATAGGGGACACAGTCTGTGAGAAGCCCGAGTAAAGACCACGTGGTTTAAACACTAAAGTTTGAAATGGATCCTTTTAGGAAAAAATCTCTTAAAGCTCTGCATGTTCTGCAGGCTCTGAAAGTTGCAACAATAAAATAACTCATGAGACAATTGTAATTGGACATGGAAAAATATAACAAAGTTAAAATTACAGGCCTCCTGTGTTGTCTATATGTTTGTGTGTGTTATATGTTTGTGCATGTTATATGTTTGTGCGTCATGTCAAGTACACTACGTTGACCTTAACAAACTCTGGACCAATATACTAACGTGGGGAGTCGGTGTGTTGTGAGTGTGTTGTGAGTGTGTTGTGAAATGAGGAGTGAACGAGGAGTGCTGAACGGATCATGGAATAACAAATGTTTTTCTGTAATGTTTTAATGTGATCATGGAATAATTATTTTTTGTCAACAGCATACGGGGTAAGTACTAGAGATTCAAAGATAACAAGCTTTATTGAACAGGTGTAAAAGTGAGAGTACCCTGGGCTGAGTACTCTGAGAAAGTACTCTGCGGAAAGTACTTTGAGATGAATACCTTGCTGAAGGTACTGGGAGTCCCTCCCTCTGCTGTTTGTTCTGACAGTGATTCGGTCCAACCGCAGTGAGCGGTCATTGGGAGGAGGACAACTTTGGTTTGTAACTCACATTTAGTGGAGTATAAAATTAGAAATACACATATTGTTAAGTTTGTATTTGGCTACAGCCTCTGCCCTGATGTCACACACCGTCTGTCAATGCAGTTATGTTTTGCCCAATTGGAAAAGATTGACAGGCTGCACAATCCGAAGAGAGGGAAGTGGGCATTTCTTGTGTTCTAATGTTTCTTTTTCAGATAAAAGATAAATTACACCTGCTTCAGGGAAAACACAGTAGTACGGATCATGACAGGAAATGAGTCTCTACTTTGGCACCAAAGCCCACAATACGAATTGAGGACGATCCGGGAGAAACAACTGGAGATAATTGGAACCGTAATCTACACACACACACAGACGCATACATTTACACTTGGCCCACGACCAAGAGAGGGAGTATTGTAATGTTATTGTCATTGCCTTAACCTTCTAAATCATTAGAAAGAAGTGTAAAACATATATTTACAAGAACAAATAAATAATGGAAAGGGCAGCCTAAAAGCAAAATGGAAAAATTATTAAATAATTTTTGGAGTTGCCAAAATAAAATAAAATAAAATTCTTTATTTGTCCCATAGGGGGTCATTCTAAATTTGGTGTTGTGCAAATTCAAAAGGAGAAATAATAGCGCTT